AATGAAAGTCATTAAATTATTGGGATGAGATTGAAGTGAGGGAGTGCTGGAAGGAGTACAGTATTTTCAAGATCTGAATGTGAATGAAAAATATGGAAGAATTGAAATGAATGCTATCAGTGTCAGTATCCAAGAAAAATAAAATGGAAGTCATAAATGCTATAAGAATGTTAAAAATTAGTAAGCTATAGATATAGACAGGATAATGAAGAAAATGTTTTTAAAATGATGTTATTTGTTTATAGAGTGGGTGTGTGATTTGTTTAATGTGTGTGAAGACTACATCAATGTCATTTGGAAGAGTGAGGTTGTTTTGTACCCCTAATCAAAAGAAAAGGTAGCAAAAATGAACGTAAAAACTAGAGGGTTTTTACATGAAGTTTTACATAAAGTTTTTAGTTTGTTAAATGTGCCTGGGAAGGTGTTTGGCAGAGTTCAGATTTAAAGGGTACATTTGGGAACTGCAGTATAGCTTCATGCTGGGCAAAGGGTGTGCAGATTTTTAAGAAAAATATGTTCATGAGAAAGAACTTTATTGGCTGGACTGAGTTGATGAAATCTTCAAAAAGAAAGGTGAGAAGTCTAAAGAACAAAAGTCAATGAATGGGCAGTATATTGGACATGGTGGAAACTAGGACGGTTTGCAAGAATAGAATGGTGTGAAAAGTACAGTATAGTGAGTGGTAATGGGGTAGACTAGATTTTGGCAATTTCCTTTTCTTTTTCTTATATTAAACATTGAATTTTGTTGGCTTACAGCTTCTTAGTTCTGCCCTGTCACAACACAACCTCCACCCTTACATACAATGGGTTTTTTAATTTTTTAATTTAGTTTTTATTTATCAAATTTGTCACCGCCCATCTCTTTAAAAAAACAACTCTGGGCAGTTGAAGATCTAGGAAGGATGCACAAGACCTGGGGGCGCAGTTGATGGTTTTTGCATCCTTATGGTCCATCAAAAAGAACAGGCAAAGGGAAAAAAATTCCGAAAATGAATGGCCACATAAATGGTATTAATGGAACAAGGTTGATTTCTGGAATCATGGTATTTATTATCTAGATGTCTTCTACCTGGGTTGCAACTCACAAAGATTGCAACTCACAAGGACTGGTAAAATGTGTTTAGCCAAAGCATGGTAAACTTTGATTAGGATGGCTTTAAATTGAGTCCTGTGGGGGTTGCTGTGTTGGGGCTGTTAAATCACTGAGTGAAATAGAAAGAACATTGGCTCATAAAATTCATTGTCTGTACACTAATGCTCAGAATATTGGAAATAAATGGGGTTAAACACAATTCAAAAAGGCAAATGCACAGGGACTGGTAGAAATAGTCCCTTGACTGGAATTCAGCAACTAAATGATACAGTTTTTTCAAAAGGAACAGAAGAAATAGAGAGGTTGAGTTGGACTGTATACTAAAAGTACATACCCCTGCATGATCCTTCTAAGAAATTCTTGACATGTCTTCCAGACAAATTTTCCTTCAGAGGATAAATATCACCTATCCTTGACTTTAAACTAACCAATAGGAAAATTTACATCAGGATATAGAGTATCAGCAACCCTGGGAGAAAGTAACCATGTTGCAGTTCTTTAATTAAAAAAAACAGTGAAGCAACTCATTAAAAAGTTTATTTATTATTAAATTTGTATGCCGCCCATCTCTCCCAATGGGTGTCTCTGGGCAGCTCACAATTAAAAATCAAAAGCCTATAAACACTTAAAATACCCCATAAATAATTAAATAATTCTGGTTCCCACGAAAAGCTGTTTATTTTATATAGTTAGTTCCAAAATCTTATAGTAAAAGTTTCAATATTCCAAATTTGTCTGGATCCTTAATTAATCTTTCTTGGTTCAAAAACCTTATTTAGCTTTTTGCCATTTATTTAAAATTCTTTAAGTTCTTAAACTTATAGTTAATTTTTCTTTTGTCCAGAAATGAAGATAGACTCACCAGGTAACTTTTGAAACTTGTCATTCTGAAGATCTGTAATAGCCTTACGATAGTTAAATAGGCAATTGCCTAAAATGACTAGAAGCAAGGTTGGCGAACTTGATGTCCTGTAAAAGGCTCCACTGCAGTTGTGAGCTTGATGATTAATCCCTTTGTCTCCCAACACTCAAACCTGCAGGGGATCTGCAGTCTCCTCACGAGGAGCAGCCATCCAGAGCACATGTGGGGAATCTCCCATCCTCCCCTTGTCTGGAGAGGTTCTGAAGAACCGATCTACTCACCAGTTCTTTGGTTTGTGTTGTGGTCATTGTCTCTGCTCTCCATGGAATCATGTTCAGCTCACCATGCCTCCACCAGAAACCCACTTCATAGATGTATTTTGAACCTCATTTTATACAGTTGTATTGGACAAGTTCCATTTTGAGGCTGAAGGATTATTCTTGCCCATTAGTTAATAAGCAAGGTTCAGTAATTAATTCCTGTTAGAGAAAGGAAGCAGTATCTGAAAAAAGGAATACAGTGGTACCTCGGGTTACGAATGCCTCTGTTAATGAATTTTTCAGGTTACGACCAGCTCTGGTCGCAAAAATTTGCCTCGGGTTACGAACCGGATCCGTGGCCATTTTCCCTGCTGCCACGCGGTCGCGGCTTCCTGTGGGCGAGATCGTGGTAGCAAGGGGACGTTCGGTGAGGCTTGTGGTGTGTTTTGTGGTGTTTGGAAGGTTTTTGGTGTGCTTGTCAGCATGGCTCCAAAGAAAATGCA